TATATATATATATATTATATATATATATATATATATAAATATAAATAAATATATATATATAATATATATATATATATATATATTATATATATATATATATATTATATATATATATATATATATAGATATATATATATATATTTATTTATTTATTTATATTTATATATATACATATATTTATATATATATATATATATATATATATATATATATATATATATATATATATATATATATATATATATATATATTTATATACTAGCGTACCCGTCCCGCGCATTGACGTGGGAATAGAAGAAAGTCCGATGAAATATATAAGAAGGGTTTCATCCATGCTTTACCAATCCTATATTCTTAGACACATTGACCTTGTTTTTTAAAAGTGAGTTATTTAAATGTAAACAATGCCTGCGCTTGGATCATAAATATCGGGACACGGGTTTACCTACACTACCGCATGAAAACCTTGAGTGTACATTAATCACTCACCGAAAAAATGAGCTAGAACACACTTGGTGACCGCCCATGTGTCAGGGACGTAGAGGGGTGCTCTCGGGAGCCCCCGATTACACTACCTCAGAATTGGCTTTTGTACCCACTGAACACATTAGAAATGCCTTTGATAAATTATCATGAAGCAATGCCAATTGCAGACTATTTCGAGGACTACTATATTGGCAGACCACAACGTCGAGGTCGGAGACATCCTATTTCCACTTGGTATGTGGAACATGCACACACGTGCAGAAGACCATATGCCAAAAACAAACAACTCAGTTGAAGGCTGGCACAGAAGTTTCCAGTCGAATATGAGATGTTGCCACCCAAATATTTGGAAATTTATTGACTTTATTAAAAAAGAACAATCGCACCAAGAGGTTTATTGTACACAGATAAATTTAGGTCACTGTTTACTAAAACAGAAAAAAAAATATATTGATGGCAGCGCTCGAATCTCACCTTTTGTTAAAAAATTTTATGAGCCCACCATTATAGAGTATTTGCGAGGCATCGCTCACAATCTCTCTTTTTAAAGTTATAATAAAACAGTTTCTTCTAATTTTGGTTCTCATCATCTTTGGTTTTTCCTTACATAAACCTTAATTGGGGGGGTTTTTGTCCAGGATTTTTTTTTACCGGACACCGAATTATTAGGTATTATTATTATTGTGATAAATAAAAGCCAGTTTAGATAAATTCTACAAAATAAGTAACATTAGTTTGGGGAAAAAACCAAGTATCAAAAACGCTTTGGTTTTGTTTCTATTTCAATTTTTATTAATACTTTTACTAATGTATAGGCCAGCTTTCCAAAAATGTGAATCCTAATTATTACCTTGTATCTTCCTCACTATCTGAGTCATCATCTTCATCAGATCCATCACTTTCATGAGACTCTGAAGCTGCTCTTTCATCTGGCATTTGATGTATTTAAAGTTCCATAAGAACAAAAACACGTATTTAGGTTAAAACTAGATGGAATATTAGTTCAGGATAGTACAATGGTCTAAAACTAAAAAAAAAAAACCATAAATTAAGTCCTATGTTTGCTATTAATAAATGAAGTTTGGCAAAAAAGAAAAAGGTAGGAATCAAAACATGTTTTTTAAATATATGCCTCCCATTGTATTTATGAATACCTAATAATTATAAATAAAGATAATTCCACTGACCCAGATTTAACTTTCTTTGAATAAGTGGTAAGAACTGAAGAGCCTCTGGATTCATTGGTTCAAAAAGCATAACTGTATAATAAGAACAAATGAAAACAACATATAAGCATAAAAAGGTGTTGTTTTCAAAAAGCAATGTTAAGTTTTAATTTATTAATCAAGTTAATGTTTGGCATATTTACCAGATTTACTAAATAATATAAAAATATATCCAATAAATAAATAAATAAATAAATATATATATATATATATATATATATATATATATATATATATATATATATATATATATATATATATATATATGTGTGTGTGTGTATGACAGGGCACATGATCTCATGACAAAATTTCCGAGGACAAATAATCTATGGACAAAATATCTGAGGGCAAAATAAGTCATGGCAAAATATTTATAGCATTAAGGATGATTTTAGTCTAATCTAATATTTGTTTAATTGATTGTGATATTGTTGTGTACGTTGTTACACATACTATTGTGATATGTACTAAAATGAATTAATCTAACTTAACAAAGTATGAAAGACTAATTAAACTTCATTTTTTAAATAGCATTTGATTTTAAATGTAACAATTAAAACAAAATTACTCATTGTTCATGACAGGAAAACAAATAAAATGTCGGAAGTTATACCACATTAATGTTCAAAACATGTGAAATATATTTTTGAAACAATGATTGGGTTTTCAGGTTCGTAGTGTAAAACCATGGTTTTTACTGCTTCATCAACACAAATATGATGCTAATGTTTTTTTTTATGGCTGTTGTCCAGCATCAGTGCAGATGCCTTACTATGATGTAACAAAAGAGGCCTTAGCTGGGTAATCATCACTAATACTAATACTACTTTGTTTTCAAGCATTCTACTTGGCTCCACAATAACCATGTGTTGATTAAATAAGCTGTTGTCACATGATCTCTAAGGTGTGACCGAAATATAACTATTGAATTTATATGATAGTTGTTCACAGAGAGCAGATTTTTTCTCCCTGAGGGCCGGTCTCAGCCAACAAAGTGGGCAACAACTTTGCTAAGAACGTTTATTTTTCACAGCAATAGGTGAACGATTCACTTGGATCTCATTTTGTCTACCTTATGTGGTAGGATTGTCTCGTGATCAGCAAGCCCTGCTATGTTGTCTTACAAAAATTTGTTTTAATGTTTGAATAGAGTATTATTAATTGCTATTTCAAACTGTTTATTGTAATATGCCTAATCTGAGTGACATATTATATATATATAGGCCTATATATATATAATATATATATATATATATAATATATAAAGCTCAATTTTGTATGTAACATGTTTGTAAAAAAATGTTTGTCGTGGATACTTTGATGGAGTTAAGTGTTAGATTATTATAGTGCTCATGGTCTAAATTTATGAGTTAAAAATAAATTACTATTGAAAGTGTTGGGAAATATATATATATATATAGATAGATATATATAGATATATATATATTATATATATATATATACACATATGTATATAATATATACATGTGTCTATGGTATATACACACAATATACACATACATATATGAAGACAAGTGCTATTCATTCAACCATTTTCAAAACTTAACAGAATTGTTCTTGATATCAAAACATTAAAGACTACCAGCCACTACTCCATACAAAACCATATTTAATCAAGTCTGTCACTCGATATACTTTTGTCTGCTAAAAAAAACTACTAAGTCTCAGTTTCTTTTTTTTTACAACTTTTTCTGAATATTTTTTTTAAAAAGTAAGCTTAAATGAGTTTTTTTTTAGCAAAATCAACTTATATTATTAAAACAATGAATGCTGAGTGTTTGTTGTATACTAACTATGTGTATTTTATTTGTCCGACACACTGGGTATACTGGAACAGAAGTGAAGGTAAGAATTACATGTTAAATCTAAATAAATAAAAAGCAGCGTGTTTGTCTGTTTGTCTTTTATGCATTACTTCACCTTTCATCCAATCGCCATGAAACTTTGGGAAGTTGTTGAGAATACTCCGGGGGGTGGGGGGTGGGGGTGTATCTGCAGGGAAAAATAATTTCTAATTCACAGGGGTGCACCCTGGCAGGACGTGATTCAAATCTTCTCTTTATCCAGAATATAAAAAGGAAAGTCAATTGCGGTTTAACACCATTCATCTGATCGCCATAAAACTTTGGGGAGTTTATTAGAACATTCTAGGAGAGGTTTCTGCAAAAAAATCTTTTTTTATTTTGCAAGGGCGGCGCCTGGGAGGGTGTAATTTTTTTCAATACACAGTTTGGCGTCCAGAGTTCCAGAGCGGCTATCTTAGCACCTGGCATCCTTCAATCATATGTTTTGCATAGAAGGTAAGGCGCACTACTATATTCGGCGCAACTACTGCCATCTCATCCACATTATTTTCTGGTCAAATCTGCTTTGTATTAAATATTTTTTGCTATTAATAGATATTGTTTTGGTGCAAAGGAACATTGAATAATCTTTAAAGATAGTAATTTTTTGTTGAAATGCAATAACAATTTGTATATAATACTAGCGTGCCCGTCCCTGCACATTGCCGCGGAGCTAGAAGGAAGTCTGACAAAATATTTTAAGAGGGTTTCATCAATGCGTTACCAATCCTATATTCTTAGACGAGTGACCTTGTTTTTTAAAACTGAGTTGTATTTAAATGTAAACAATGCCTGCGCTACATTTATTGGGTCATATTTGTCGGGGCAGGGATTTGCCTACACTACAGCATAAAAGCCTTAAGTGTACTTAAATGACTCAATGTAATAATGAGTGCGCTGCAGTGTTTAAATGGGACAAACTCCGGCAGTGTTTTTTTTAAATTGAGTCTTGCCAACCAGTGGAAAAAAGCTAACACAGTATACAAAGACATAAAATTTAGGCTAGTTAGCCATTTGATAACAAATAGTCATTTTTTTAAAAAGCATTTACTAATGATAATTGAACTTCCTTTTAATTTTTTTTAAAATGCTTAAGTTTAAAATAGCATGTGACACCCAATCTTAAAGGCTATGGAATTGTGTAAGGTTAACCCTTTATTGCATGAATTAATTTTGTGAAAGCTTTTTGAGAAAAATAAAATCTAACAAGGTGGGCTGTGGTGTGTAGAAAGTAGGCCCCTACAAATAATGAGGAAATTATTTTATCAAATAATGTATATTGTGCAAAATGAACAGTATGTAGCAATGTTGCTACATTATGCAACGGTCAGTAAAAATATAGGTAAAAATGGAAAAAATTATTAATCATTTATCTTGGAAATTTATGGAGTAATTATTGATTTTAGTAAAACACTTATTTATACCACATCTGGAGCATAGGAAATGCATTTACAAGATAGTAATTTTTCATTTTTTGCACTTCATAACTATTACCAGTTATATTCCTTAGTCAATCTTTTTATTGTGTTAGTCAATAAGTAACCTCACTTTGCTCAGCAGGACTTCTATCTTATATAATTTGAACTTGTTATTGTTTTAAATGCAAGTGGTTTTCAATTATTCAAACTTGTTGATAGGAAAGAAATTAGATAATATCTATAATGCTGATATATCTGGCTATTATTAGAAAATTGTCCTGTGCAATGAAACCAGAGAATGTCTGTTAGAAGCCAATGGTTTATTTCTGCCATATCAAAGACTTTAAGCTTTATCTGGATTCCTCTGTGCCATGTAGATCTAGAAAATGTGCATCTGTTCACCCACTATATTAACATAGTCTTTATCCATGGTGTGAAATAAAATAATCTTGAACAGCCAAAAGGCCTTGTGCTAAAAACTAAGTTGGTCAATTCCTATTCCTCACAAATAAAGAACATTTGTTTTAGTTTACCACTTGCTAGACTAGCATCTGCTTATAGTATAGATCTAAATGTACATCTTATAAATGTACATATTATGAATGTACATCTTAATCTTATAATTGTACAGCTTATGAATGTAACACTTTTTTGCTCCAAACAGTACCATTATCTTCTCTATATCACTTTCTAAGTGTTCAATTTCAGCTAAAGTAACACCTTCAACATCAAGTAAACCAATAGATGAATAATTAGACATTAGTGACCAAGGAAATATGCAATCTCTATTTCAGACAAAATTCTTCTATTAGAATCTTTACGCATCCTGTGAAAGAAAAATAATGTAAATGTTACTAATACAAACTATGAATTATATCTAGATCTATTTATTTTATCTTCACACATGCACAAATTAAATTATAATTGAAATAAAAATAATGTATCACTTCTACTTTATTATACTAGAGGATTATTATTTCATATGCAAGTGTGTGTCAAATATTGTTTTTCTTCAACAATAAATAATACTAAAATATTTACTATAGTTTTTAGGCTGTAACTTCATGAGACAAATAATCAAATATTACACTAATTTCACTTTCATTTAGATTCTTCTTGAAGTGTACCATCTATTTCAGTCAGAACTGTTCTGCAACAAAATTTACAGCTCGCTCTAGACAAAATGAGATCCTGTAAAAATAAATACAACAATGTCAGCACTAAAACAATCTCTAATCATTCAAAAACTTCATGGTTTTATAAATTAAGCTTTGATTACTATTATAAAAATAAATAAATTACTTCTACCTATAGATATATTATTGTATGTGTAAAAGTATGCAGTAAATAAGTAAAATAAGTATGTAGGCCTATGCCTAATTTTATTATTTTTCTTCAATAATAATTGCTATACTACTTTCTAAGCTTATCTTATCCAAACAATGTCTATATGAATGAATTAGTATGAATACAGAATTATATGTAAGTGATTTTAAGGATCAGCTAGTAAATATTAGTCTAATACTATATTATTATTGTTATACATCATGACACATTTTTTCTTCAATAGTAGCACCACACTGTATCCCCTTTATTATAAGCTAATTATAGTTAAACACTAATTATCTGTATGTATATAGTACTATATAAGTTGCTAAATTAGTATATAATAGCGCAATGCTTGACTATATTACTATTGTTATAGATTTTGACACTATTTTTCTTCTATAATTTACATATTATTATTATAAAAATATAAAGAAAAACAAAACTAAGCTAGTGTTAGAACCATCAGGTGACTAGAGTATACATGCTAGACGTTAGGAACAGTTCAATCAACTACAGAAAAGTCAATATACTTAATAATAATTAAAACTGCTATATACCATAATTGGATATTATCAACACAAATATAACAAAATAGTATACAAACTACTTAATTTTAGGTAAAATTACTCACCTTAGATTGGGACATATTTTCTAGAAGAAAAACACAGCCTGTGAATTTTTATTACTTTCTCAAAAAACACTTCGATCACAGCTGTCCGGCTAGTGTAAACAAACGGAATCAAATTCGAATTTTGTGATACGAAACACATAGATACTCTGTTTCGCCTATGAATTTGGGTCAAAAGGGAACAAGCAGGACCATGGCATATTAAAAACTCAGATTTTAACATTTGTGTAGATTTATTGGGGGTTATTTAACTTTTTAGCAAAATTGATACAATATGAAATGAAGGGTATTAAGTAACAAATAAAAAGTAAAACTCTTTTATTTAAAGTTGTTGTTTTTGTAACTTACTCATTTTGCACAATTTAAAAGAATTTTTGTAGTCTTTTCTCATCAGGCAATCAACAAACTTAAAAATAGAAAATAAATGGTTATAAGCTAAGATAATTTTATAAAGGTCTATCTATCTATTTATCTATCTATATAAAAAGCAATGTATGTGTGTGTGTGTCTTTTATGCATTACTACACCTTTCATCCAATCGCCATAAAGCTTTTGGGAAGTTGTTGAGAATACTCCTGGGGAGGTTTCTGCAGAAAAAAATAAAAATTTGCAGGGGTGTGCCCCGGCATGGCGTAATTTGTTTTTTTTCTCGTTATTTGGTATATAAAAATAAGAGTCAATTGCAGTTTGATGCCGTTCATCTGATCGCCATCAAACTTTGGGGAGTTGATTAAACACTCCCAGGAGAGGCTTATGTAAAAAAATCATTTTTAATTTTGCAAGGCGGCGCCCCAAGATTTTTCTATATATACAGTATATTAAAAAAATGAAATTCAGATGCGATTCCACACCGTTTATCTGGGTGCCATAAAACTTTGGGGAGTTGATGAGAATACTCCCGAGAAGGTTTCTGGTGGGGGGGAGGATTAAATTTTGCTTCGGCAGCCCCTGGCAGGGTGCAATTTGGCGCCCCCATTTTTCCAGTGAGCGCTAAGGCACCTATACGTTTGTTTTAAACAGTGAGTGCATACGCTACTTTTAAAGAGTGTGATGCAATATGAATAAGAAGTAGTATTATAGTGAATCAGGCACGTCCCCGGCTAACCTGGGACTTTTTTTTAACCCCACGGGAATGCGCTGGGATGAGCAAGCTAGTTTTTCTATAAAATATAACTACACAACATAAGAGTTCTAAAGTAAAATATTGAAGCTACTAAAATTTATAATCGCTTTAATGAACCTAATGATTATAGTATATACCTCCATAAGTAGTTCATTTGGAGCTTTCCTTTCTTGTTCCTCAGATTTATCTTCATCACTTTCATCATATTCTTTTTTCTTATCTTCATCTGACTCAATTGACATGCATTTTTTTACATTGATCGAGCTGATGAAATCAAATGTATAATTTTCTTGTTCGTTGACCTCATCTTTTTTCTTAGTTTGTAGATCCTCTTTGCTAATTGAAGTAATGAAAAAATGAAATACAAATTTTTTTTTAAATATGTTACTTTAGAGAATTTTTTTTAAAGTTTCCAAGCCTCTCTAAGAAGTCTATGGTTTATGACAAATGAGGCAGATATCTGGCACACTATAACACCGCGTTTACACTTACAACATGTATACTAGACTTGACCTACTTAAGTGTATACTAAATATGTTTTGTGTATATAGAACATATTCTGAGTCGCAAGGCACAAAACCACGCCCCTTTTTATGTTTTCGGCCAAGTTTTTGTCTTCGCTCACCGAGCTAAAACATTGGACATGTTCTGAATTTTCAGATGAGTGCGCATGCGTCTATGCGTAGTAAGCGCATCCTCTCAGCTGATTGCAAAGCCAAAATATAACTTACATACACACATACTGATCTAGAGCATTTGAGCACACACTTTAAAAATTACATTTTTAAATAATTACTTATTATTTCTTTAATTAAACCTAAACACGTTTTAATTAAACCAGTCTAGTTTGTAACTGAAGAAATAAAAAAATATATTATAAAAATATATTAACCAAACTTATTGATGAAAGTTATTCTTCAATTTTCCTTGACCCATTGTTTGAAATGTATCCACATATTTTCAATGTCTGACTGCTAGAGGAATAAATCTATAGGCCTATCAGAAGTGCTTGTGGGATCACACTAGTGCCGACTATAAAAACAGGCAGATAACAAGTGATAGATTATTTAAATAGGTTTAAAGTCTCAGTAGTGAGTATAGTTATAACTCGATCTCAATATTTGTAATGGTCTTGGCAGATGCAAATTTATCGAAGAAATCGGGCCCTTTAGCAGACAAATATTTAGCCCTGTTCATTCAAATCATACAAGCTGTTTCTGAAGGATATAGACAAGCAAAGAAGTGGCGTATGTTCTAAAACAATATAACTTTTTAAATTTGGAAATTATGAAAAGGTACATCAGTAAGCTAAACTTCTCTCAAGTTACAAAGTATCGTAAACGACATCTAGCTGAGGAAATGACGACAATGGGATTGGGGGTAGGGAGAGGAGGTTAGGTACTGCGTGGTGGGAGTGAGGTAGTAGCAGGTGTGTAATGGCTTAGACCCATGCTATTATACAGAACTAACATTATTTCTAGCTCAGTTGCTGACACGTCAATATAATTTCTTAAATGTTGCACGGTCTCTAATTTTTAGATAATTTATTGTTGAATTGTAGGCACAATGACTACACCTTTTTCCTATAAATAATAAATCTGCGTGACCACTATATCTACGTTGTTTTATTTATTTTTTACTTTGATTACTCTTTCTTTTAATTATCTAGGCTTATATAGCAGATGCTCCAGGTCAAAGGTCATGTTTGTTTTAAAAAATGTTCTATAACATGTTCTGTAAGTGTGAACGCTTAAGTATACATGTTCTGTAAACAAAATGTTTCCAGATAAAAATAACTTTTGGCGGGCTTTGTGTTCTAGAAATGTATAGTATACATGTCGTAAGTGTAAACGCTGTATAAGTGGGGAATGTAAACTTTTAAAAGATTTTTAATACACAGATAATTTTTTAAATAGAAATTGAAGCTTTTGTTCAGATTACAACTGAATACATAAAGTTTTATACTTTTAGTAAATACAAATATCAGAAATCTAATCATGATAATAAAATTTTACAAATGACTAAAAGAAAATGTTTAGGCCCTACCTGTTTATTTTTCTTTTGCCTTGTAAGTCTGTTTGTGCTGGGTATAGTGTGTAGCAAATCAAAATATAGATATAACAATACATATTGTAAGATTGGAAACATTCAATGTCTAATGCCATAAATCCAGAAATGAAATACAAATTTATAAACCATAATTTTTCTTTCTCTTTGTTGAATCTTTTCTCTGTACCATTTATGCCCCATACCCTTTTATTTTATTCTCTTATAATGGATTTTTTTTTGTATACAGGGATCAAATAAACCATTTTAACTGACCTATGTTTGGATCCTTTGTTTGTGGCTGGACGCCAGTTGTACAACTGCTATTAAAAAATGAAAGATATACAAATCATGCAATGATAATCAGTCTGTGTGTACAATTGTTAACTTATTTTCATATATAACTTAAATTAAATTAAGAATTAATTTAAGAAATTAGCCTACTTAAGCTAAAGTAATTAATATTTAAAAATATAAATGTAAATTAAATTTTTTTCAAATTAATTAATTTCTAGCAATTATTATTTCCATGGAAAATAGATAGTAGAGCATGCGACAATTAACCCGCATGTCTTGAGTTAAGGTCTCTGGCTTGAGTGCATAGGAAGTCCCTGAGTCTACCCAACTTTGATTGGTTACTGACTCACATCAGGGAAATTAAAAACTGCAGAGATCACAGAAGCAGGTGAGCCCAGTCTTGAGCCAATAGGATGTCACATTTTTTGTGATTTCCTGTGACTGGAAATAATACTTTATACTCATTCTGATTTCTCAAATAACCATAAGAATTAATTTAACCTGACTCCTCTATCTATCATTTATCATGGGTAGAAACTTGTGAGCAAAATTACTACTACTTCTAAAACATGACCAATTTCTTTCCAACTTTTCACATAGGTCAAGACTCGACAAGGCATTGTGACATAAAATGTAACTTAATTAGATGTTAAGTCACCTTTTAAAAAAATTATAAATGTTTCCATTCTTCAGTATGCAATTCTTTTTTTTATGCAATTCTATTCTATTTGAACATGTTAGTATTAAAAAAAATAAGAAGAAACACATCTATAGCCCAACTGCACTGGAATTGCCATCTCCCCACATGTTATACTTACTCGAGAAATTTTAGGGGAGATAACTCCTGCTTTATTTTTAAAGAAGTAAGTAACAATTTTATTAACAATTGTAGATTATTTGAGCTAAAAATGTGGAAAATCTTAGTACTTTTCTTCTTTACGCCGTACAGCTATCAGAGAAACCTGCTTGGTGGGAGTTAGAGCTCTTGTTGCAAGACAGGAATGTGGTCGAGATAAAACTGAACTTGCACTAGAGGTACTCCTATATTTAATAGAGGAAAATAATAAGTGTTAGTGAAAATTATACAACTATATTAACTAAATAATTTAGAGTCCCTTTTATCTCTAACTGCCTTGTAACATTTATTTTGTTACAAATCTAACTAATCTATGTTAAATACTTGTGTTTATTTTGGGCCCCGATGATCAATAAGCCAAAAAAAATAGAGATGATTAAATTTTGTAAATGGTCAGAATTTTGCTGAATTATTGCCAGATAATGAGCATGAGTGATATGATATAATTAGAAGTTTTGAGACTTCTCTTCTGACAGCACTATGCTCAGTTTTTTTCAAATATTTTCAAATATTTTTACCATGTTTGTTACATGAAAGTAAGTATTAAACAACAAAAAAACGCGTTTGAAAATAATTTCAGTTGTCATAGAAACCCCAAGAAAACCTTCACCTATTTGAATTTTGTGGTACTTTTACAAATACTAAGGCTATTTACTTTCTTGTATACAGGGAGGATTGTAATCAAGCTGTAATCAGTTTTCGCTGTTTTACACCTCTCTACTTTTCATATATGGAACATAAAGGATGCATTGTAATCGTGCAGTATTCTTTTGACTTTTGAACAATTTCCTGTAACTGGATGTGATACATTACTCTGTTTCCGAGTGAACACTTTAACTAGAGTACTATTTGAGTTATGTAAAAGAAATTTCATACATAAGAAAAAGAACTTATACTTAGATTACTTTTATTTCTTAATTCTTCAATAACCGCAAGTGGTACTTAACTATGTTCCTGGTTTCTAAAATAATGACAATGTAAGTACCATTTCAAAACAAAATTTTATACATAGGTAGAAGATTTTATGTTGGTTCTATTAAACTTTTAGTGATTTTAATGGACAGGAAGTGGTACTTTACACTGTTTTATTTCTCAAAAAATATCTTTTCTACTGGACTGATTTATTTCAATTTTTTACTTTCTTGTATATACGAAGTATAGAGAAAGTATTGTAATCGTGCAAAAAAAAAAAAATCGAGATTTTTGTAAATCTCGACGTTTTACACCTCCCTGAGTCGGAAAAACATAGTTTTGCAATCTAGTCCGTATGTCTGTGTGAGTGTGCGTGTGTATGTGTGTGTGTAAACACAATAACTTGAGTACCGTTACAGCTAGGTTGATGAAATTTCATATATAAGTATTATATCAAAATCGTAGATCCGTATAAACTTTTGAGCGATTTCCAATAACCGGAAGCGGAATTTTTTCTACTTTGAATTTTTCAAAAGCCTTTAACTTGAGCACTATTTCAGACAGATAAATGAAATTTCCCATGTAAGTAAAAGTTTAAGTGTTTAAAATGGATTAAAAATCATAACTGTATCCAGAGTTCCCATCCCCTGTTGTTTTATATAAGAATATTCGAGAGTTTAGGGGAGTTTAGGGGAGATCACTCCCGGTTTATTTCTCATAGGTAAAGACTCAGACAATGAACTGTGACATAAAATATTATTTAATTAGATGTTTAATTAAATTTTTGAAAATTAATCAATTTTTTCTTTTCAATGTACTTATATTTATCTCAATAATGCATTGTTTATGTTCATTTTGGTGCAGAATTTTTTTTCTACTAGATTCCATTCTATTTTTAAAAATTATGTATTAAAAAAACATTTCTCTTACACGATTACACTGAAAGTGCCATCCCCCTTACTATTATATAAGAATATACGAGAAAATTTAGGGGAGATCACTCCCACTTTGTTTATTTGTGCACTTAGGCAATCAAATTTACACTGCTTATATTTAAGAATACAATAAAACTTTTGCTCTGACAACTTTTCGATAGAGCCACTGATCAGAATTCTACATCAGAAAATTGCACTCTTTTTAATATGTGAGCGTTTTAAAATTTGCATATTTTTTAACGTAAACTTTTTTTTATGAAAGCCATCCTGATTCTCTTATGAAAAAGTTTTATTCTTACATGAAGGACAAATACAGAAAATATAGTGAGAATTGTATTATTAATAAAAACGAAGAAGGCTTTCAGTGTTAAAAAAACTGTAATATAAGAACAGCTAAAAGTAACAAAAAGAAGGTAACAAAAATAGCTTGTCTGTGTAATTTGTAAAGCCAATTGTAAGCTGTGGGTGTTTCCAAGAAGACGGAAAAATGAATAACAAATACCAGAGAAATCCAGCTTTCTAATGATGTCAAATATGATGATGGATATGTAACTTTTTGTAGAGGGGGTAGCGTGCAAGATTGGGAAAAAAATTATTATATTTTAATAAATGGGTAAAAAAATTGTAATTTTAAAAAAATGTCCTTACTTATGTTATTTTCTTAATACAAAAATGGACAAAGTATCCAAAAGTGCAAGAAACCCATTTTGACTAAATCAGAATTTTGGAGAATTGACCAAATCTGCCATTTATCTACATTTTGGCTGTTGGCCTATTGTGATCTTTTAGAATCTAATATATAAAGTTCAATTATGTATGATTGTTTGTAAAAAATAGCCAAAATTAATATTGAAGGTGTTGTAAAACACCTTTCATTTTTAAACTTATAATAATAATTGTTGGTATGTTCATCAAACAAAATTTTAAAAAATGTATCAACTTTCACAAAACTTGTGTCTGAAAATTATTTACATTTAATCCTTTAGCATTCATTACCTCCCCGGGGTAGACTGTGAGCACTTTGCATTTATGTTTGCGTTTGAGTTTTCTTTGTGTTTGGGTTGGGTTTGCATTTGGATTTGGTTTGTTTTCGTTTTCTTTGTCATTTGCATTTTCTTTGTGTTTGTGGTTGGGTTTGTGTTTGAATGTGTTTGCGTTATGTTTGCATTTTTTTGTGTTTTGGTTGGGGTGGGCAATACCGGGTATATGCTGATTACTAAACACGCATGTCATGGTCTTTTACAGATAGGTTTTTCACAGAGGCCACTGCAGGGCCTGGCTGGGACGGCTAGTTTAATTATAAACATTAACTTAAACATTTGGCAACATACAATGGTCTTGAGGAAGTATCTGATGATGAGCATCTTGAGTTCAATGAATCTTTATCTGAAAAAAATTTAAATACTTTTGTCAAAGCCTAAGATATATTATTTACTGATTAAATTTTTTAATAATAAAAAATTCTTATCTTATAGTATTTCCCCAGCTACATAAATTGTCTAATTCTCTTAGTTTAATCTCAAGTTACAACATTGTATTTATTTAATTAATATACTTTAATTTGGAATTTTCTACTTTAACCATGTTTGTTAAAACTGGGTTTTAGGCTTATCAATTAAGCTATTGCGGATAGAACATTGAGTAAGAATTTTTACTATGGGATTATAAACATAATGTTAATTAACAGGACAAATGTCAAGAAAAAGTTACAACAAAATCAGCTATGTGTGAAGTCATCATGGAGCGTAGAAGGGAGGAGGGGGGGGGGGGGGGGGGGGGGGGGAAGAAGGTCCAAAAAATTTCACCTGCGATTGATTGGAGTGGTTTGGGGTCCATGAGACAGTAAGCACTTAGTTTAATATCAGTATATCTATCTTACAACATAATCAAAACTTTTAACCTTAAACAGAATTTACACTTTTAAACAGCAGAGCCTGTATTTAAAAAACAACAGGTTTAGTAGGTAATTAAAACAGTTCCCAGAAAAATGTGGTGAACAGAAAAAAAGTCACAGGAAAGTAAAAAACAGAAAAAAGTCAAATTTCTCTAGAAAAAAAAGTCACAGAAAAAAGTCACAAAGAAAAAATTGTTAAGTTTTGGGAGTTTATTGTTGTGGGTTGTGTTTTTGTTTTAGCATATTTATAAACCTTAAAATTTAAAAGCATTATGGTTTATAACAATAATAAGTAAAAATAATATATGGTAATTTACGCAGAAACATCAAATTTTGTTACGTATCTAGTTAATTACCCGGTAGAAGAATTTAAAATATTATACTGTATATTGTATAATTGATAATTATCAGTCTAAGCAATGTCATTACTAGGTATAAAATGAGTGAACTTAATAGATTTATTAACAAGTAGTATCAATAAAGCTGTATACTGTATACAAGTTGAAGCATAGTCATTAGATCTTCATGATACTATAAATACTGTCTGAAAGCATTGTCAGTGTAAAACTCAGCAATCTTAATTGCAGAGCTTATCTTATCTAAAGAGGTTAAAGGTTATAAATCTGAATTTGACATTCAATAAGTTTAAAAACTACTTTTCTGCAGTGTTTCTTCCCCCCCCCCCCAACGAAAAGGAATCTTTATAGAAAATATATATTTTATCAGTACCCTCCCCCCTACTCCCCCCCCCCCCCACCGAAAATATCAAGTGCACCCCCCCCCCACCCCCACCCTGGGGAGAAAAAAGTGGAAGAAACACTGCCTTTCTCCCTACCTGCTTTTTTTTTAGAATTAGACATTTAAATTCTTTAAATTCTCTGCTTTTAATCAAGATAGATTTTTTAAAAATGTAAATATAAAAAGCACAAACCATCTCCTTGTATTACTTCAAGACTTCCAGACTGTTTTACATATCTTCGAACAACTGTTTTTATTAACCTTCAGATAGATAAAAATAAATTTTTGATTTTAGAAATTCATTTTACACTAATTTGCTGTTAACCTAAAAAAATCCACAAAATGTGCTGTATTTTTTCAACCCAGAGTAATAAAGTAAATTCATTTTCAATCTATATGGAAAAGGTTTCTACTGGTACCAACTTTTACTATTACATCTAAAAAAAATCTGTGATTATTTTAGTACTTTTAGTGTATTTATAGCTTGTTATTATGGTTTTCAAACTTGTTTTTTCTCTACTTTTAGTAACTAAAAGTGTGAAATAAAATAATCAAGCTATAAAAAGAATTAGTTTCACCCTTAATTAAGATTACATATTCCAGACTAAAAATATTTGCTTTAAACCTAATCAAAATATAGAGAAAAATAAAAAAACTAGCGTGCCCATCCATGTGTTGCCACAGTGTCAGAAGAATGTATGACATAATATTTTAAGAGGGTTTCATCATTGCATTACCAATCCTATATTCTCAGACATGGTGACCTTGTTTTCTCAAACTGAGTTATTTATAATACGTTAACAATGCCTTTGCTGTATTTCTTGGATCATATTTTTCGGGGCATGGGTTTACCTACAATACCTCCCAGCATGCTCCAGGGCATGGTGTATCTATCTCACTGTTTAAAACAAACATAGGCACAATAGCGCTCACAGGAAAGACAGGGGCACCAAATTGCACCATGCCGCGAGCTTTCCGTGCGAAATTATGAGTATTCATGAGTATTCTAATCACCTTCCCAAAGTTTCCTGGCACTCGGGTGAAAGGTGTTGAACTGCATACGACTTTTATGTTTTTTTATATAACGTATATAGTGAAAAATCGCACCTTCCCGAGGTGCCGCCCCTACGAATTTTTTTTTTTTTTTTTTTTTTTGGTGCAGAAACCAGCCCAGGAGTATTCTCAACAACTTCCTAAAGTTTCATGGCAATCGGATGACAGGTGTAGTAAAGGATAAAAGACACACACACATACAGAGCGTTTTATATATATAGAAGATTAATTGCCCCAAACTAGCACCCATCTCTGCTTCATGATTTGTAAACAACAATGTGATCTTAAGAAAAAAAACTGTTTTGTGTTAAATTAATTCATAAACAATAATGATAATCAAAAATATTTACTTGGAAGAGTTGGATGAATTAATATTTTCTCCAGATTCATAACACAATTGTTGTTTTTTCACTTCCATCTTTTTCTCAATTCATTGATCACTCTTGTTTATTAACTGCACTTTAAAAATAAATTAGAATTATGGTGTGTGTTTTTTTATTAGTGCAAACGACATTGATAATATAATTTTTTAAAGGCTTAGGATTTACGGACTAGGTGTTAGGCATTAGGGTTTTGTTAAATGTTATGGATAGTCTTAGAACATAATTAAATATTTTTTATCTGTGCAGATATGAAGAATTTTAACTGAATTAATTAATTATCGTTTGACATATAGATCTACTTTGTTTTGGTT